GAAAAGACGGCAGGAAAAAATCAGACTTTATTATCTGTCGCTGTGGAAATATCTGTGCCGGGAGGAAAAGGGGGCACGAGGCCCTTGGCTCGCCTGCCATGTCTGTCTGGATTTTATTATTGAAAACACACACATATACACACACCCACAACTGTCTTCAGATAAGTGTCAGCTAACCCACTGTTATGATACCTGTACTTAGAGATGGCTTGGCACAGTGTTGAAATGTAAACACTGGTACACTTCTCATTTTCCTTCTCTTGTGGCTCTTATTTTGAAGGCAATAAAAACAATAATTTTCTACAGATTGCAGCCAAAAGCAGGTAATCTGTTGCAGCTCTGGATTTATTCTCCGACAGAAACAGTGGTGCAGAATTTATCATGTGAAACTGAACCAAAAATGCGTCCGAACTGGAGACCCATTCTTCAACTTGGAAGCAAACTGCTAACAAAGGAGAAGAAGTATTGAAGAGAGAATAAAACTTTCTATCGAATCATGTTTTCAGGGAGGGGATTCACTTCAAAGAGATCCCAACAACAGGCTGTCAGTCTAATTTACGTTTTCAAGCTCATGCCAAATGTAAAAACCCCAATTTTGAGGAGTGTATAATTACAGGCAGAGCATGAATGACTATAAATACCCCCATCATTACCAGTCCCTCCTGAAGAACATGATCCATACTGAGGATAATTAAGGCAAAATATTTCGGATCCTCCAACAGAAGGAATGTGTGTGTGTGTGTGTGCATGCTCATCGTGCATGGGTGCTTACTTGTGTGTGTTACAGATACACAGAGAGCATGGGTGTGTGTGGAAATCTCCCCTAAATATAGTTGTGTTCTGGTGGAGCTGCTATGTCGGATACTTCTGGGGAACTGGAGCTTTAATTGGTTTGCAGAGTCATTAATGAAAACAGAAGCACAACTCCAGTAAAAGCGTGTGTGTGTGTGTGTGTGTGTGTGTGTGTGTGTGTGTGTGTGTGTGTGTGTGTGTGTGGATTGGACTCTGTCAATGGCCTTTAAACAACAACAGACACATGGAAATAACTTTGATCAACAAACATGTAGCAAACAAGGAGATAATAATGAAGCTCCATGTTCAACTGAGGTCTCTTAAAATAGACCATTTCAACTCTCAGATTTGACGATAATATTTCCAGATTAGGCCAGCTAATTAGTGCCCCAATATTTGGCAACAGTGCTTTGACTGAGCTCCAAATAAGCATATTGTCCTCATCGAAGAGGAGTGAAAGAGATTTTTGTGTGCGTGCGTGTGTGTGTGTGTTCGTCACTTAGAGCGGGAAAGAATGTTCAACTGAGACAGAGAGAAAACTTTACTCGACTGCTCTCACTACCTCACGTTTGTTATCCCTTTCTGTCTTTCTTTCGCCGATCAAAAAGCAAGAATGTCGCTTTGAGTGGCCAAATGAAAGGAAACCAGGCAAACATGAGCGAGAGACCATGTTTATTTCGAGTGTATCTCCGAGCCAGGCCAGGTTTTTGTGTCAGCATGGGTCTGCACGGGTTGTTGAGTATATGTTCTGAGTTGTTGCTGAAACCGGCGGCGAGTCAGTCAGCCAGCCAGTTGTCAGGCGAGTAGCAGCTCCTTGTTGCTATTTGTGTTTGAGTGTAGCCGTGCCGAGAGCCTCCCTCTCTGCTTTCCTCACTCGCTCGCTCAGTTTTTTCCCCCCTTTTTCCTACTGAATCCTCCAACCTCTTCCTGTGGCAAGAATCGTGTCTTACAGCAGCCTATCGCTCCCGGAAAGAAAAGCCTGTGACCAAGGCATCCGTCCCTTTCACTGCCATTGTGTCTCTGAAACAAGAAGCGGCTAAACATGGTGTAGCAGGGGGGCTCCACGGTGGCCCCGCTGTGGCCGCCGCTGCCGGCCTCTACTGACTTGTTGTTGCTTGTTGTTGTGTGCTTCCCTCAGCCGGGGCCCGGGGAGCCAAGGCCAAGCTTTTGTGTCATCGTTTTCAACCAGTGCTGCACTCATGGAACTAGATAAATGGATTAGAGGGGTGCAGATATGGGCGGGTATCTTTGAGGAAAAAGACAACGAAGACGTGGGGGCGGAAGAGGAGGGTGAAGGCGAGAGAGAGAGAGGAAGAGAGGCAAAGACATTTGTGTTGTCGGACAACAAGGGGGTCGAGTCTGTTGTACAAGTAGGCTGCTTCTGCCAAAAAAGACAAGACAGTGATAAACTTTCCTCCCCATGCAGTCACCTCGCTCCCCCTCCACGCACAAACACACACACTCACGCTCTCGCACAAACTGTCACACCACACAATTCAGCACTAAAATGAATGGATTGCCACAGTGTGACACGTCTCAGTTGCAGGGGGAGATGGTTCTTGTTCGCCCAACAAAAGGCGGTGGTATTATGGGGGGGCGGCGTGGCCTGACACAGAATGCTAAATTGTTTTAGGGTCAACAACTTATTGTCTTTGCTTGAGACACAATTTACATATTTTCCAAGTAGGTTCCAGCACTCTGTGAAAACCTCCTCTGCCCTCTGAATACCTGGGGTTAGTTATTTCCTCTTTCTTCTTCTTCTTCTTTGAAATCACCAAAACAACTCTTTTTTCCCCCCATCTGGTAATGACTGAGCACATTTGTGATATAATGTGTTGTAATTATTCATTTGAATTATCTTATCACTGGAGTGCTATTACCATAACATTAGTATTGTTGACTGTGCCTAACAATAGCTGCTTAGTTAAAACGGATAATAATAAAAGGTATTTACCTCCTTAATCCCAAATAGCGTTATATTCTCAGGCTTTATATTTACATTTAATTCATTAATCTTTTCTGCTCCTTTTTTTAAATTTCATGCTCTTATTTTCTCTCCCTCCCCTGCATATTGGCCCAGGGCATGCCGGGATGAAATGGCTGCAAGTGACAGCCTAATTATCAGCTCCAACTCCGCTCATTACCCATTAGACAATCCACTGTACATCCACTTACTAAATGAATAATTTTGTATATATTATGGAAACACAATATTATGGCCTGCAGCTAACGCCTTTGCGCTCACCTCACGCTGTTCCAGTACAAAAGGAATAAATGGGACACCGAGAGGTTATTTAATTTTAGCCCCAAAAGCAGCTCGTGAGACGATGTCATGTGCAAATGGAGAGCGGGAGGAATAAGGGAGGGAGGTGAAGAGGAAATTTACACACCTGCCTCTTTTTTTTACGCAGAAATATTAGAGTCATTGTAGCCAAAGCGCGAGCTGTGAGGAGTCAGCTCGGTCTTTACGTGGATCAGTTTTATCATCATTTTGACCAGAACATCTCACATGACCACCATCGGCAATATTTGACACCAAAACATTAGATAAGATTAATAAAAAACAAAGTAAAAGTCAAATCTGTGTATTTTCTTTTGGATCTGTTTTAAGTTCTCGTGCGTAAAGCAGCTGTTTTCATGGTATAACTTTTTTTTTTCTCTCTTCGTAAAAGTTCTGCTTATTTTCCAGTGACAGTAAAATGAACCCTCCTCCTCCTCTTACCAAAACTTTTGCTGACCTTTTGATCATCTCTTTTCCCTCGACTGTGATTGGTGAGTGGAAATTCAAGTTACACATATTGATGCGTAAAGACGTCTTTATGCCATCCTCGCGCAGTTATGAGTAAATCTTTACTTTAAAAGTTTCCCAAACATAAAAGAAATGACATGAAAAACGACCCCTTGCACTTATCTGTAATGAATTTGACCTGTGCGCTTATTTTTATATTTCTTTAGCCCCGCATAAAAACGTGGAAAAAATGATTTAAAGTGTGAGACAGGGCTGTTGTTGCCCTTGGTGAAAAGTAAGCAAACTTTTCTTTCAATTTTACACCACCTCAGTGTCATTATTTCCTCATAAATTAAAAGCATCCCCTTACTTCTCTTTGTTGTTTTAACCCTCCTCAATCCCTGATAGCAGAATAAAGCTTACCGCGTTTAAATCAAACTATAAAGCATACTGCAATGTGTGATAATACAGTTATAGCGCGAGTATTTCAATGTGATTTATTGCTCTTTCAAAGGGGCGAAAGCTGTCCAGGGCTAAGGCAATATATTACCGGCCTATAGAGGTCGCTGTGATATTGCAAAACAGATGCACAGGAGCCACTCTACAGGTTTAGGCCACTCAAATAATTCATCCTGAGGAACAGCTCACTCCACAGCTTACTGTCAGTCACAAACCTCACCTAAGTCAACACACAGCTCACTGTTTTTCAGCTGGAACTGTTTTGGAGCAGATTTGGCAACCGTTTCAGGTGGAGTTTTTGTTTAACCATTAAACTTTTTTTTTTCTTTAAACTGGAAAAAAATAAAATAATAATCTTCAGAGGATCATTTTAAAACGTTTGACTATTGAAGTGAATCGAGGCACCAGCAAATAAAAAAAGGAAAACAAACATAAAAAAAGAGCGTGTACAATTTCCCATCCCATCTAATTATTATGTTTCCCTCTTATTATACCCAGACCCCATTAGGCTGCTGTGTTAAATCAATATTAGCATTGGTCACCGATTGAGGAGAAAAGACGCTGCTTTTGTAGACTAATGATCACTATCAGGCAGAAACAGACAGGACCCCAAAACACTGACCCTGCTCCCCAAGCCCCCCCCCTTTCTCCCTCCTCCTCCCCCTCAATCCCGAAAAAAAAAGAAAAAAATCCTGAAGTATTAATAATTTATCTTCGAATCGACTTCTCTCTCTGACAGATTAGATTTTAACCATTTGATTTTGTTTGGACTGGGCGTTCCCATATTATTACTTAATGACCTTCCCAGCTGCTCCTGTCCATTTTCTGTCACCAGCAACCATCTGGACACTTATTAGCACCTCAATGCATCCACGCTGCTTTCCTCCACAACGTGAATAAAATTAAGCCTGCGTGCAGACTGCCAATATATTTTTTTTCTCTCCCATTCCCACCGTTCTTCAAATAAAAAAAAACATTTTCTAATAATCATTAAAATAATAATAATACACTGATGATACTCCACGGTTTTCTCTATAATTTCATTTAGTTTATTAGGCAAAATATAAGATCTGGACAAATTCCTTCAACGCTTCCTATTTACAAATTTAAATCACTTGGTATTTTACATTAAAGAAAAGACACGAAAAAACACAAGATAAAGACAAAAAAATAATAATTATTATAATAATAACAAAGTAAAAAGCCTACCAAAATGTCCCAGCCTGTCTGGGCAGAGTGGAGAGAGAGAGAGAGTAACATTATAGGCGCGATTATAGGCTACACAACAATAGAGGAAGTAATCCATCCATCCACAGGATATTACCAAATTACGCCATTTGTTTTGTACCGACTCAATGCTACGCTGCATTTTTATTTCTCAATGTCCTTTGTTTTCAGGGAGTTTAAAGTCTTTTTTTCTATTCTCTTTTCTTTTTTTCTTTCAAGCACGAAAAAAAAAGTGTTGATCAAGCCGAGGAGAGAGCGGTGAGGACTCGTTGCGTGGCGTCTTGCGGACTCCTGGCGCTGGAAGGCAGAGAGGATCTGGATAAAGAGTAATACAGAGAGGTAGATAAATAACCCCGCAGTGTTTGGACAGCAGGTCTCAATATGCATCTCAAGTGTCTGCAGGCTGAACGGATTTGATTTGAAACAGACTGCAGTCCTCCCTCTCCAATCCCTGTACCCCCCTTTCTTTGATAATAATAATAATAAAAATAATAATAATAATAATAATAATAATAATACATCGGAATATTTATTTTGGGTATCAGACATTTTTGTGTGCGTAAAATATTAATCTTTTCAAACCATTATCAACGAGTATAATATACGAGTTTGCTTCGTCTTTCAAGAAAACGCTCGTATATCTCAACATGCAACAGTAAAAAGTAAAAAAAAAAAAAAAGAAGAAGAAGAAATCAAGGGTCATTTCGTAAAGCTCGAATCAGGGGTAAACTTTCCCTCTCTCGCTCTCGGCCAGAGCGCTCCCCTGGGCTCCGACTCTCCCAGGGGTCTTTAGGGAAAGCACACAGCCCAGACAGAGCCCGTTTTACTCGGTGACTTGATAAGTAGCCACACTCTCCCCAGAGGCGAGGAATTAAAGGGGGAGTGGGATGGGAGTCAAGACCCCTGTCACCCGCAAAGCAAACTGTGTTTTATTTATCTTTGTTTATTTTATTTTGAAGTCTTCTTATAGCAGAAAAAAAAGAGTCGAAAAACCTTTAGAAAAGGTTTTATACTGGAATTTCTTCATCTTTTGTTATGAGTTTTTAACTTGAGGTTTGCAAGTATATATCATTGGCCTTTCCTAACGTCCACGCGTAATTATGGTTGACAACTTTTGTAACAGATACTGTGCAAATAATAATAATAATAATAATAATAATAATAATAATAATAATAATAATAATAATAATAATAAATAAATAAATAAAAGGCAACCTATTCAAACTATCATTACAAAAAAAAGCATTGATTTCTGAATTATTTTGAAGGACAGTTCTGAGAGAGTTTGCTACAATCCAAACCTTTATGAATGAATGATGCATTTCAAAGAATATGAATGAATAAAAAACTAGTCTCACCTGTCAATGATGGGTCGAAAGGAAGACTTCAGGGTCTGTGTTGGGGGTGAAACAGACCTTACACCGTTTTCATGGTCTAAAATAAAAAAAAATAAAAAAGGTAAACACACTTTAAAACTGCAGTGATGAATAGATGAACGTTATCTATTTTACATGTTGTCCAAATATGCTACAGCTTGTGTTTAAAGGTGGAGATTGTAAGTGTGTGTTTCCTGAAAGAGTGTGAAGTCTTTTATTATAAAACAGATTTTAGGACAAAAAGAAATGCAATAAAAAGCTTTAGCTGCACCAGTAATTTAATACACATAATTGGTGTTTTGAATGAAGTTCATACACTTTCATGTGACATTTCTGCGCGTGCGTGGTAGTTGAGTCTTACCTATGTGTTTGGGACTGTGGGTCTCCTGTGCGGCCTTGCTGTCATTGCTGAGTGCTGCTGCAGCTGCTACCGGTGACACCACCACTGACGTGGGTTGCTGCTGCTGCTGCTGCTGCTGCTGCTGCTGGGCCGTCGCGTGGTGGTTGTGGTGGTGGTGGTGATGATGCTGGTTTACTCCCAGAAACGACCTCACATTCAGCAGGGAGTTCTGGCCCAAGAAAGCCCCGTTTGTCCAGTTGTGGAACTTTCCAATCTGGCAAGTGTACAGTCCGTGACTGGGGAGGAAGGCCGGGTGGGTCTGGATCTGATGGTGAGGCGCTGATGGGTGCGTGGTGGCCGCTGGGGCACATGGGGACGTGGGTTTCTGAGAGGAACTATCAGGGCTAGTGGCAGTCTCGGCTAAGGACCAGATTTTGGGCTTATTGTTGGGCGGGAGGGGAAAACTTCCAGGTCTATCCGGGGATAAAACTCGCGTGTTGTTGTTGTTGCCGTCAGGGCTCTCCTTACTCCCGGGGTGAAGTGAAATTGTGCTCTTAGATTTGTCAAACACCTCGTGGGCCTGCAGCGCGAAGGCCCTTCTTCTCTCCAAGCTGTCCAGCTCTCCCCCAGCACCCACGCCGCCCCTGTGCTCCCTGCTCCCCTCAGTTGACTTATCGTCGTCGTCCTCGTTGCTCTGATCCCCGTCGTTGTCGTCAATTTTGTCTATATCTATGCTCTCCAAATCGATCTCCTCCTCGTCTTCGTTTTTCTCCCCCTCGTCCCCGCTGCCGAACAAGTTCCCGTCCTCTCCGTCCTCTTTGCTCCTGCTGCCCCAGGTCACCTTGTTCTCCTTCTTGAGCCTCCTCCTGGCGTTGGCAAACCAGGTGGAGACCTGCGTCAGTGTCATTTTGGTGATGATGGCCAGCATGATCTTCTCGCCCTTGGTGGGGTACGGGTTCTTCCTGTGCTCGTTCAACCAGGCCTTTAGGGTGCTCGTGCTCTCCCGGGTGGCGTTCTTGGGCCTGGCCGGGTCCCCGTACTGAAACTGGCCGTATGGGTAGAAGGCCGGAGAGGTGTGGGCCGCAAAGCTAGCAGGATGGACGCCAGGACTGTCTTTCAGCTCATACTGGGATCCCTTCAAAATAAAAGAGATGTTTTTGATACAGAACATTATTCATGATGCAGAGTAGCTGTTTTGGACTGGATTAAAGTTAATACATGCTGTTATTCTGGCATAAAAAGGCTAAAAGGATGTCTCAACCATCACTCTTTCAGCTCACAAATAGAAGTGGCCTCTTTTGGAGAAATCAGCGTCGCACTTGACTCTAAGCTTCCTACAAATTAGCCCCACAACTTACAAAATAGCACATGCTAGGCCTGCGGCACCTGCCTAGTTTTATCAGAAGACGTGTTTTCAGACGTGACAGTCCAATAACGGAACATACAAAGTCAACAGGACGAAAGGGAAGTTCGTTGCATCGCTGTGAATGCACATGCAAATCCTCAGCTTTCACGTGTACCTGCCAAACTCCTCTCCACACTCCTCAAGTATGTCAGAGCGCTTTGAGGGCCTAAGTGAAGTTTTCCCAGCGTGCCACACTCACACTTTAGTGCCGAATTTAATCTCCCTTCTCGCCACGTTTGCTTTGGATACAGCACTCAAAACATATCGACCAGTAAGAGGGGGCGCATGGGATTGGATTTTCTTGATCAAGGGGTTTTATTTTGAAGCTTTTTGCGCACAGATTATTGTTGAGATGAGGCGGACACGTTAGCCTGAGCGTTATCACACTACAGAATAATCACCAGGTGGAGAAGGAAAACAATTCATTCACCAGGTTCCACTAGAATCGACACGGTATTGTGAAGTTAATTGTCGAAACTTGTCGCGTTTTTTTTCTCTTCAAAGTTCACGTGTGGCAGAAATATTATTTTAGTGATCTGATGAGAAAAATCTGCTCATGGTAAAACACGAGTAGAAACTTTTGCTCTACATAGCGCATGTCAAAAATGTATCTACTTTTCCACCTCATTAAAATGTCCTAAAACCACAACATGAATAAGAGACATCGATCGTGTTGTTTGTGTTAAATAAACACGTTTTAATGGCTCTCTTTACCTGCTAAATAATTCTGATATTTTAGCTCAAATTTTCGTGTTTTTGTTTATGTTCAAGGGTCAAACTTTTAACAACCCCTCTTCATGAAAACAAACGACTGAAATAATAGAATTTACGAGAGGATGATGTTTTATTCAGCGAGTGTTATTTTAAAATTCAGACAAACTACGGTGCGTTTTGGTCCTGATTTCTTTTGTTAAGGCTCCAAAGGCAGGCTGTCATGGTCGTTTCTGCAGACAGCGGCTGGAACATGAAGTGTAAACAATAGTCTCTCTGTAAAACCAACCCCGAACAAAAAAAAAAAAAAAAAACACTCAACGTATTTTCTTACCATTTGTGAGAAAAGAGCCAGGTCCGCGCTGGTGTATGGTAAGAAAGCGCTGTAGTTGTGCGCGTACGGGTTGGCGTACATGCCCAACACCGATGTAACCGCCGCTGCAGTGGCGGACGGACTCCCACCGATCTCGGTGCTCCCTCCCCGGGACGACGGCGTAAGCACTCCCGGCCTCTCGCTCCCGTACACCGCCTGGGAGGCACTCAGGTACTGCGGGTAGCCTAGCTGCGGGAACGACATCTCCACCGCACAGCCGCACCGTCCTTTCAAACTGTGCGCGAAAAGAGTGTTAGAGTGAAGAAAGAAGAAAAAGTGGAGCCCAGTGAAGTGCGGGGAAAGTGTTCAAGCCAAAGTAACCGCTACTACAGACATACACAGTTGTGTGCAGTCAAAACAACCCGCTCTTAAATCTCGGCTTCCTCTCTTTTTTTCTCGCGCAAAGTCCGCTGGATGTGATCTGATCAACAATTGCGCTCCGACTGACGCGCCTGGCCCTGAGGTCTCCAGGCTGATCTCTCAGATACAATTTGAAGTTGATGCTTTGATTGGCATCCCCTACTTGAGCCTGCAAGCTCCTCCTCGTTTGGAGCAATGTGGATAATGTGAATATAGAGTGAGCACATTG